AAAAGCAGTTTCACTGCGTGTTTGACATCCTAACACTACTGAACAATAAAGAGGTGTGAATATTTTTAGGCACGTTGTTGAAACAAATGAATAGGATTAGGAACAATGTACAAGCTGGTTGAAACAAAGTCAGTCACGGTCTTGTTGAATTGGGGGTGCGGTTAGTAATAGGTACTTTTCATGTTTTCAATTTTTGTTGAGAACTCTTCAACACTGAAGCCAAAATCGGGGGTGCGGTTACTATTAGGTATGCGGTTTATAATAGGATTTTAACGGTAGGCAGTATTTCGGCATTCCCATGATTTATCATTGAGAGGAAAAGATGTGTAATAATAAGGTTATTATCTTACTTTGTAGTTTTAAACCGTGCACCTGGCGGTCATCTCGGAGTAGATAGTTGTAAATCTATGGCAACGACTGCAACTATTGCTAAAGAGCTATTGATTAATGGCAAGTCGCCTACTGCGGATGCTCTCATCAAAAGTGGCACTGGACCTAAAACTGAACAGAAACTACTACGACCTAAACAGCAATTGATGTTCCTTGCTGAAATTCAGGGACTACAGGTAGAATTTACAGATTTCCCAAAGGTCAGTGCATTTTAAATATTCATATCAGTTTTTTCTTCTTACAGAATTTGTACAAGACTCGGTATGGTTCATACTATAATGTACTATGCAATGCAATGGCTACACATGCATTACTTTCAAAATATGCTTTTAAATATTATTAACTGGTTTTTGACTCCCATGTGCGAAGCACAAAATGGGAGTCTTTGCAGTTAGTGTGTCTGTATGTGTGTATGTGTGTATGTGTGTGTGTGTGTGTGTATGTGTGTCCGACTGTTCCACTGCTATCTCAAGAACCATACATCGGTTTTTGATGAAACTTGGTGCATAGATGCTCTGGGCCAATGCGCAGATTTGATTAGGTTTTGGTAAAAATCCATGCTCGTTAATTACCTAATTTGCATGATAATTAGCTAATTTTTAGCTGTTCTATGACTGTTCCACTGATATCTAAAGAACCACTCATTGGATTTTGATGAAACTTGGTACATAGATGCTCTGAACATATGCGCAGATTTGATTAATTTTTGGTAAAAATCCGTGCATATTAATTACCTAATTTGCATGATAATTAGCTATTTTTTAGTGGTTCCATGACTGTTCCACTGATATCTAAACAACCACTCATTGGATTTTGATGAAACTTGGTACATAGATGCTCTGAACTAATGCTAGGTTTTTATTAGTTTTTGGTAATAATCCGTGGATACTAATTACCTAATTTGCATAATGATTAGTCAATTTTCGGTTTTTCCACTGATATCTCAAGTACATAATCATCACATTTCAATGAAACTTGGTACATAGATGTCATACGACAC